CCTCCTGCTTGAAGGTGGCCAGCATGCAGGAGGGGGAGGACAGCGAGGAGAGCTCCATGGAGGCCAGGCCGCTCTGATGCTGCTCCAGGTTCAAAATATCCTTGACCGAGAAGGGTGTCGTTGTCACAGGGCTAGGAAACATTGCGGAGGAGAGCGGGGCAGCGGCCGGAGCCCAGGGTCATGGAAAAGTAGGTGAGGAGCAGCCAACCTGGAGCAGTGGTGGAGCGTGGGCTCACGGAGGGGGCACATAGCATTCCCGCGAGTAGCCTTGACTTGTGCACTGGAGGCAGGTAGGACCAGACCATAAGGGAAGGGAAGGAGGGACTAGGCAGTTTTTGGGTGACTTTAGCTTTCTATTGGCCAACATTGCAGTGATGGTATGAGAGATGCAAAGTTCCATGTCACCTAATATAGTAATACATCTCAAAAACATCCCCACTCATTTAAAGGGGCGGCACTGTATTTATCCAGCTTTTTCCCCGCCGAGTTTGTTGATCCATTTAAAAAAAAAAAAATCCAGAACGGCCTAATGTGTACAAAGCCACTGTCTGATGCCATCTATCATACAGTCAGATTAAATAAACAGGCCGGGAGGAAACCATCAACCAAATATGTGCTGATTTCATTTTTTTTTTTTTTTTAAGCGAGGGAACGGAGGTTTCGTTTTTAGTATTCTGTAATATCCGATCGCAGGAACTAAAAAACAGGGGTTCACTGTTGTGGGAAGCGCGCTCAAGGGGAAATCCGCGCTTAAGGTTTATACAGATACTCTGAAGCAGCACAACGCCCGCAAAAGCCAGCTGAGAGGCGAGAACCCCTAAACAGACCCTGCCTGGCTTTGGAGGGGGAAATGCCGCTTGGGTTTTCCCCCCGCCTGTTTGTAAAGCTTTCAAACAAAAAAATCAGCACTGTCTGGGAGAAACAAAACAAAACAAACCCAAAACAACAACAAAAAATCCCCCAAAACCAACCCAAACCCAAAACCGCGGCTTGAAGCTGTTGCGAAATATACAGGGGTGCTGGGGGCAAGAGAGGGGCAAGTCAAAGCAGCGGACCGCTGGG